TGTCCAGCGCAGTCAGCGTCTCAGTCATGACTAAAAATGCCCTTGATTCATGTGTCCGTAGTACAATCCGTCACTTCCCAACGTGGATGGCTTGAGTAGCCTAACTTTTGTCGGGGCAAATGTTACGATTACGGTACGCACACGGAATCCGAAACGGGGCCCACACGACGTCAAGACGACGAGACTCACATCAAGGCCATGACTTTTAGAGCAACTATGCGCTGACCAACATTGATGGCTTTGGCGGTTTGACATCCATCGACCAACACCTCTACATCAACGCAAGAGCTTTGCGTGTGGTATCTCTGCACAGTTTTCCACTTATACCAACTCCTCTCCTCAATGTAGGGAAACACCGCACTGGCCGATGTCGACGGTTTTGGTGGGCTGACCTCGATTGGCAAGTCAATCCGGTTCTGCTACAATCTTGCATCGAATCTTCAAGAAGTTCAAGCTGTTTTGCAGCCGCTGGGCACTTGCCATGTCTTTAGCCTGACAAACTCGTGCCCCACCTGTTGATCTGCTGAGGAGCCGGCATGCATTTTGCGCTTCATTATGAATTGGGCTGCACAGTCCTGTGACTTGAATGTTTCAAAGTCCCATGCGTGCAGTCTCTCCCATGACTAAAATGACGATTTTAGGCATGGGCAGGTTCGCCGCCTTGTGTGTGTGTGCGTGCGGGTGCAAAGATAGATATCAGGCTTTTCTTCAGATTGTCGAACTTGGTCATGGTTCTTGCCAGAGAGCAGACAAAGCAATTAACTTGAGAGTATAATGACAGGAACAATCGAGGAGTCCCTGATCCAAAATTTACAAACAATAGTTACAAGAGGCATAAACACCCCCGAGACCCAGGCCAAGCTTGAACATGACTGTGTATGTACATGCCATTTGTTTCGTCTGACCGAGCTTTCAAAGCTTAGAAGAAGTACAGAACGAAAAAGAAGACGCTTGCAAGCAGGCAGATGGTGGGCCACGATGCAGCAGCGCGACCAGCACTGTTGGGCTGTTCAGTCGATGTGAAAGACGTGCTGGAAGCGGAGCTGGTTGAGCTACTCGCGGCCTCTGCTTCGTCGACACAGTAAAAAGAGATGGAGCCAAACGCAGCGAGCAGAAACTGAGTGAAGCTGGATGAACTCACTATGACGAGGCGGCGCACGCAAGAGCGTAGCAGTGAAAATGTTCGGTCAGGGTGAGAAGAAGAATGAGTAATGCCTTGGGGCCTGCGATGGACGTTCAATGCATGACGGGGGACGTACTGGTGAGGTTGGTGCCATGGGCCAAGCAGGATCCTTCAGGAAAAGACATGTTGTGAGCCACGGTACTGCAATCGTCTTTGTAAAACACGACATTGGCTGTCTTTTCGGCATCACAAGTTGCGACGATTCTAAGGTAGCCAAGGTCAGCCTGAAAAAAGTCCATGCACCCTTGATCTGCGGAGCAGCGGACTGTGGCGGTGGCTTGGGAATTGAGAGCATAGGCCATGGAGGGCGCATCTTCGCAATTGTCACGGATGGGAAGATATGCAATCAGATCTGTTGAGCAGTCGCCCGAGCTGTATGCGGCTGCGACAGCAGTGGTGGCCGCGGGTGTGTCGACGGAGCAAGTGATTTGGCTTGGATCATCGAGGCCCGTAAAGCAGCTGTCCTCGAGGGTGGAATACACGTAGGTCGTGGTGCAGTCGGGATCATCCCACTCCTTGACAACGGCCAAATCATTGGCGTCACAGGCAAAGGTGTAGTGGCCATTTCCCACGGAATAGCATTCGTCAGAGAGGAAGAAGATGCCAGCATTGTTGATGGTGCTGTTCTCGCTCTCACACAAACCCCCGACAAATAGGGTGTCTGGGTTTTCACCCGGGGGTGTTTCTTGGGGCGCAGCATCGACGCAAGTGAAGGAAAAGGATCCCAAGCTTGCCAAAAGGTATTGAGTAAAGGTCGAGACGGTTCCTTGGGACAATCAAAGACGTGGCAACAAGCGGTGAGAAAAACCGGCACAAAAGCATGGAAAAGTGGTTGAAGGGGAGACGCGGGAAAGAAGGGCGCAAGGCCCTTTGACGCACCGGTGTAATTGGTGCCCACATCAAAGCAGGCACCCGGCGATACTGTGGCGCGAAAGTAGCTTTCGTCGCAAGTATCCCTGAAAAACTCTACGAGAATCGTGTCGTCGGTGTAGCAGGTTGCGGTGATGCGAATAAAGCCCAGATTGGAAGCAAAAAATTCAACACAGCCGTCGTCATCGTCGCAAATGTTGGAAGAATTTCTGCCTGGTGAAAGGGCAAACGAAGGTGCCACGGCATTGGGACAGGTGTCGCGGATGGCCAGGTTGCTGATGGGCTCTGACATGCAGTTTTCGGATCGATAGGCACTCATGATCGCTGTGGTATGCGAGGGCTGCTGTGTATCCTCGGCGCAAAAAATGTGTGCGTCTTCCAGGCAGCCCGAAGTGAAGTTGGTGATGGTTGTAGGTGTGGTACAGTCCGACGTCGTCCAGGCCTGTGCTTGTGGCGTGCCGTCTGCCAAACAGGAGAAGGTGTAGTGCTTGTTCATAACGTTGTAGCAAGTGGTAGTCGAGTCAAACACGAGCAAGGCGTCGTCCAGGCCAGCATCGGCGTCATCGCAGAAGCCACCCATGTAAACCACTTGAGCCGACTCTGCCACATGAGCTGAAGCCAACCACCGCGGGCAAGGAGCCGAGGAGGGTGAGCAGGCAGCGCAAGAGTAAGAACGGCAGCAAAAGGTTTGTGTGGCCTTGCAAGAACAAAGACAGAAGCACAGACTAACTTGTGAGAAGCAGAGTGAGGAGCAGGCCGCACCAACGCTGGTGCTCGCTCACACCGACTAACTGAAGCATGACTTTTGTCCTGTGCAGGAACGTGAGGCATGAGTGTCGTGCGAGCTCCTTGTTCCGAGCTGCAGCCACGAACCATCGGCACCATTCCAGAGTGAAACACGGCCAGCACAGTCCAGCCACGACTCACCAAGCTCTCTCCCTCTAGCACTGCAAGGCAAAAAATAAATGCTCGACTTGAACAGAGACTCCTCCCTCTCTCTCTCTCTCTCTCTCTCTCTCTCTCTCTCTCTCTCTCTCTCTCTCTCTCACGTCGAAGGAGGCTTGTTGTATCATTCTAGGATCGTATCCAAGTGCCTTTGTCCTAATATAGGACACCTTTGTCCTGGGTGTCCTTGGGAAATATGGGTGAACTTGAAGCCTACACATGGTGAGTGTGGTAAAACTAAAGTAAAATAGCGAGTAAACGTGCATATGTGTGTGATGCACGTCACCTTTGGTTCGTCAGTACTAGCCGATTCACACGCGAGCCACACTCACCCAACGTAGCAAGGAGGAGCAAGGGAGGACGACGGCACACGGCGTACAGAAAAAAAGCCAAAAGGGGACGACAGGGAAAAAAAACCAGCGAAACGCGAGCGCGTTACCGTCATTCATTGGCAACGGCCAAAACAAAAAAAAAAAGAGAAGGCCAACAGCACCATGTATTCCCATCTGGTCACCCACGATAGTACTAGCATGGCCCAACATGGCTTAACTGCGGCGATCGGACGAGAGCCGGTGTATTCCATGTGGTATGACCGTTGGCAAAGATCAAGCTACATAAAACTCCATATAAAGCACATTTTACTTGACATAGAAAAAAAGCTTTAAACGATCCTTGACTAAAGTCGTCGTGGCACGTGGTATTTTCATCTGACAACTCCGAGGTTGTACTGTTGTACTGTGGGTGGCTGTTGTGCAACAAAACGGCAGCGCTGGCCCCGTGGCGCCTCGTGGCGCTGGTCCACCACTGCAGGTATGCGTTCGGGGAGTGAAAGAAGGCTGTTCGCCTGGTTATGATTGTTTGAAAGAGGGTATAGGGTCGATGCTCATGGTGTTGTGCCCTGCCTCGTCCAACTCAGCTCCGCGCCCGTTTCACCCGCGCCTTTGGCGTGCCCTGGATGAACCGCGAACAAGCAAGCACCCGGCCCTCGTGGCCTTGACATCAAACCGTCAAAGGCGCTTTCACAGTGCTTTCACAGTTGAAGGCACAATGCATCAGAGCAGTTGAACGACGACCGGTCTTCTTGCCCAGTTTCACTCCACATGAGGATGCCTGCTGCGCAACGGCAATGGCCCTCAGCGGCGCATCGTGGCACCAGCAAGGGCAGGCTTCTATTTGGCATTCTCAACCTGCTGGTGTACCTTGCCGCAACCCTGCCGGTACGGGCGGCCTCTTCCTGCAACCTCAACGCAATCGCGGGCTTTGAGGACGTCGTCTGCCCGCCGAACGCCGGCTCCGGCGCGCTGGTCCCGTCGGGTGTCAACTGTACGGCGCGTTGTGGCGCCCCATTCCCGAATGAAGAAGCATATCGGGGTACCGCTGCCTGCGTCAATGGCACTTGGGAGCGAGACTGGTCCTGTGACCCATGTACGCTCTGCGCGAAGCTGTGCGCGACGTACGGTACCAACCGCTGGTACAATCACGAAGTCGATCGCTACGCCGAGTGCACCCCACCCCTATCGGTGCCCCCAGCCCTGCCTTACGGCCTGCCAGATACCATCAACTCCATCTCCATCTACACTTCCGGCCCCTTTACCATCGACCCCTTTGTCATCCGCAATGCCACCAACATCAGAGAGATCCGCATCAAGGGCCTGTCCGACGAACCGTCCTCTAGTCGAATCCAGCTCACCATCAATTCAGCTGCCTTGCCCCGCTTGCTCGAATCATTCCGTATGGAGCGGGTGGATCTCAAAAGCCCCGTGTATTTTGATGCACCCTCTCTGCTCAGCTTGAAGCTTGATTCGTGCACGGTCCCCACCGTCCTGAATCTGACGCATATCATGCACCTATACCCAAATGTATGTTCTGCTGCGCACGCTCGTGGGCATCCGCTTGCCGCATGCTCGTCGCCATCTTTGCCAGTCTTTTCCCCCGGCCCCGTTTCCTCATGCTCGACCCACTTTCCCCTGCCCCTTCTTGTGCCAAAATCAGCTTATGACCTTTCTGCACGCGGAAATTACCAACCCGCTCACCAAACTCATCACTGATGCAGAGAACATGGGCAATCCCCATCTTGTGGCCCTCGGCCTGGCTGTACACGACGTTGCCAGCTTGTACAATCTCCCTTGGTCCAGCTGGCCCAATCTAGTGGAACTTGAATATCGTTTACAGACCGGACCCCCTTTGCTCAGCCGCAGGCTGCTACCCAACAACAATGCCCTCGTCGATTTTAGGCTGACTGACCTCGACCGGGCTTTTAGCTACATTGCTCTGGATACTCTCATCGATAATGTGGACTTTGACAACATTGAACCCACTGTCGAGAACACCGAGTCTCCGAAAAATACGCTCGTTGTGTTTCAGAGCCAACATGATGCGAATGCTGGTTACGGCTCGGCCATCGCGTGCTACCTCGTCGAGGTCAACTTGGACAGCATTCTTTACAGCTCCACCAAACGCATTGTGTGTTTGTGTGAACCACCAGCGAATGGTGTGGATGGCTACTACGGCACCCCACACTGTCCATACCAAGCCCCCATCGCCTGCAAGGAACACAAAAACGTGTCCTTCTTTCCTTCACAACTTTGCAACGGCGTGCCAGATTGTCCATCCGGGTCCGACGAAGCATATTGTGCAGGCATCCTTGTAACTCGCAACTTTACAAATTTTGAATGCTATGGACGAATGAACGTCACGATTACCGCCGGGCTGGCCCAACTTGTGCCCCTGCCCCCCTGCAATACCGTCTTTGCCGCAATGCGTGATTATGATGCCCTCGATGGCCTAGTTGGTCCCAATTTCTGGTGGTTCGTTTTGCCAGGGTCACCCACGCAGTGAGAGGAGAAAGGATATTTCACCATTGACAGGCAGAATGGCTTCTCACCCATGCCTCGTGTCGTCCTGTTCGGGGGCTTTTCGTGCCCCTCCGTGCGCCTTGTAGGATGCAAGACCTTGAAGGCAGTTTATATGCGGCTCTGCACTTTTCTTATGCGGGCCTTGAGAATACCGAGGTTGTGCTACCCCTGGCCGTGCGCGAGGGTGCCATTTTTGGTCGCGAGGGTTCAGTCGACACTCGGTTACCATCTATCGTTGATTTGGGCAACCAGTCCTTCACACGGCGTTTCAATGCCCGCTACCCAGCTGGTCCACCAGAAACAGGCGCAGCAACGGTACACACAACCTTGAGTTCTTCCACCGTGCCGTCGTCTTCAGCGCCACGCCCATCGGCTTCTGGTGCTTCTAGCACTACGGTGCTAGCAGCCAGCATTGGCGCGGCCTTGGCTTTATCGCTCCTTGCTGCTCTGCTTGTCACAAGACACCGACGGCGGCGACAGCATGACCCTCAAATAGATCTGGTCCTGGGACGGCTCATTGAAGATGCACGCGTCGATTTTGAGACAACATACCCGCGGCTCAAGTCTGAGCCGCTTCAGCTGATCGACGCCCGTCAGCTGACGGTGCGCCGCATCCTTGGCAGTGGCCATTTTAGCGTTGTGTCTGAGGTTGGTGCTGCTGTGAGAACGCCCGTGTGTAGAATCTTGCGTCCACCCCTCACTTGATTTCTCTTGGTAAACGTCACGTCACAGATCAGTCTGCGGTCTGGGCAAGGTGTTCAAACTGCTGCTCTCAAGCAATGCAACCATTCAGCTGCCACGGTAGGACGTGATGGGTTGCTGTGGACGTGTGGCACAAGTACGCTCTCATGTGGGACAAACGGTGATGACGGTGTTGTAGCTGGTCGGCTGGATGCGTGAAATTATGTTGTTGCATAGCTTGCGTGACTGCCCCCACATCATTGAGCTTCATGGTGCCTGCTTCACGAGGTGAAGTGTTCGCGCTCCCGGCTGCTCTTGTTGCGTCGCTCACATCTGCAACCTCCTCGTGTCCAGGGAGAACAAGCATGGCGAATTGGCGTTGGGAGCCGTTCTCGAGTACGCTCAGTTTGGGAGCCTGCTGGACTTTGTGCGGAACCAAGCACTGGATGAAGCACAGAGTCGACAAGCTCTGACCCAGGTATGCTGACCGTTTGTTCAACACTTTCCTTTGCGCAGATGTTGCCCCTGCGCTTTTTCCATGTTATTTCTCTCGGCCCATTGCTCGACCGACCACTCACGCGTGATGCGTGAACGCGCCTTCTTGTTGAGCGGACACAGGTAGCTCAGGGCCTTGCGTACCTTAGCACCTTGAGCGTCGTTCACCGCGATGTGGCTGCGCGGAATGTTTTGGTGACGGCCTTGTCACCGTTCACGTGCAAACTGGCGGACTTTGGCCGTGCGTCTCGTCCAACAAACTTTTTGATTCCGCCATGTCCTTAGCAAGACAAGCGCGACTCACCAATCCTCTTCTCTTGCATTTTAGTGTCGCGCGTGCTACCAGCATCAGACTATTACAAGAGCGGCGGCGAGGAAGCCCTTCCGCTTCGGTGTGTGCCTTGATGGCCCTCGTGGCGCCAAAGTGTCTTGCTCTCTACCGATGGGTCTCGTCTGCCGTTCGTGCCCTGCCCTTAACGCTCTTTCTCAACCGGCTGTAGATGGATGGCACCAGAGTGCGTTGTGGAGCGACGCTTCTCGGAAAAGTCTGATGTTTGGTCCTTTGGCGTCTTTGTCTGGGAGCTGGCCACTCGTGGACAGGTGCCTTGGGGCGACGTTGACTTGGGTACGTGTTTTCTGGCTCTCACCCTCGCTTTTCTGGACCGCCCTTCTCTTTGCTTGGTCGTGTTATGAGAGTTGTGGCTTGACATCTGAATGTGTGTGCGTGTGTGCGTCACTGTCAAAAATGCCGCAGGGCCGCTGACGCGTATGCTTAAAAGCGGTGGGTTCGGCCATCGCCGCCATCGTCCTTTTCCCCTGCCGACATGGTTGTTGGGTCGGGGCTCCTTCTGTGTTGGTTTTTGGAGGCACCTTGTTTCGCAATGCTTTCATGATTTGTGATTTCTCTGACAGGTCGACGGTTGGAGCTACCATCACACTGCCCAGCCCTGTTCGCACGGTTAGACCTGAGCACTTTTCATTTATGCTGTGCGCAAGAGCGAGAATAAAGTTTGCGCATGTGTCTCACTTCACCATCCGCAATGCTCGACGCAGAATCGCTGCTCGTTGCCAAGTATTATCCCCATCTGAGCGTCCAACATTCGCTGAGCTCGCGTCTTTGTGCAGCGAACCCCAAACGACCACTTGGGTACGTTTTGGCTCGCCGAGGACACTGAGCGCAGCCCGGCCCACTTTTGACAAGACTACGGTTTCGCAGGCCTTTTCTCGCGAAGCGAATCCCATTCAAGATGAAACCGCCTTGTGATCCGGCAGCACCCAACCTGCGGTGCTCCTTCATGGACAAGCCATGAAGAGCCCTTCTTATGCCATTATGTTATCGAATCAAACGGGCAAAAGCTCTCTTTCGAGTCTTTTAAAAAAAAATAAACAATGACCCCTCAATACAGCCCGATACCCCCGATATCCCCCGTTCTTCCAATACCCGATCCATACCCCCTGACCTAATAATTGACCTCGGGAATGCAGCACGCCATGACGACTCGTTCATCTCTCCGCCAACTCCACACCCACTCGAGCGCTCAGCCCCTTATGTCCAGATAACAAAATTGGAATAATTCGTCCTCATGTAATGTAGTGCAAATATCCATTAAATGTAGTTTTATTAACATGGTTAATGTTAGTTATCGTCGCACGTTTTTAAATTATTGCACCAGGTGAAAGGGTTTGATAATTGGACTGCACTCCTCGTTCGTGGCCCGCGGCTGAATGGCCGGTTCGCTTGGGGGTGACCGTCCTGGCTCCACCAGCTCGAATTGTACGTTGGATGGATGTGTGCACGATCGCAGTTGCGTTCCGCGCGCATTGGATGGTGTATTCCTTTTGACACGGGTGAAGGATGGGGGCAAGGGTGCGCAGCCTGCCGTGCTTGACGCTCCTGCTGCTCCAGCCGCTTGTGCTCCACCTGCTTCTGGTGGGCTGGCAGCTTCCTCGCGTCGCGGGAAACTGCCCGGCGCGGCCCCCGCGCTTTGACAATCAAGAATGCGGTACCACGGCGGTGGCTTGCGTCGTTCAATGTGATGTCAGCGATGCCCTGCTCAATCTCACCTGCTCCACGAGCGGAACGAGCGTCGACGGCGCGTGGTCAGGGACGTGTGCATCGCTCATTCCCTCCTGCGAAGCAGGAGCTACGGTGGGCGATCGCTCCTGGTCCTACGCCTGCTCAAGCTTGCCAGCCATCCCCATGGGCTTGCCTGCTGACAGCACGGCGCTACGACTCGCTTTTGACGCTCCGGCATCCGGCCCCCTCCACCTTTCCCGGCTCGCGGCCCTGGACCAACTGCAAGTGTTACACCTGCACAACTACGAGCTGGCCTCTAGCGCCTCTTTGCCGGCCATGCCGGGCCTTTGGGAAATGCATCAAGCCAGCGCCACTGCAGCTCGTCTCCTCTACCCCCAGGCACCTCTGCTCAAGACCTATCGTGTTCGCGCAGTCTCTGTCGAGGCGGGCTTGGAGCTGAGCCGAATCGCTCAAGCCTATGCCAATCTAACCTTTTTGCGTTTTACGGAGATGACAGGGCAAAATCTCGTGTGGAGCGCACCGGCACCAGTCCTGTCCAATCTACGGGATATGTATCTTCTGCTCAATGATTGCCAACAGCTTGACGGGCTCAACGTGTCCTTTCCCGCACTTCGACACCTCGAACTGACCTGTCGCTACGGCACAACCGAACTTAAGAAGAGCCTTTTACCCCAGTCCAGCCAGCTCAGATACCTTCAATTACACATACAACAGGGCGCGACGACAGGCGCCGGGGAGCTGGCCCTCACCAGTATCACCTACGACGCTTGGTGGAGGATCATGAACTTTGAGAAGCTGCAGCCCAATGAAACTGCTCTGGCGGTTGTGACACCAGACATTCAGTGTTACGGCAGAGAGCATGGGGATGGATTGGTGATGATCAACTGCAGTTGCTACAACCCGCCGTACCAGGACGCCCCCTTTTGCCCTAAACCGGCTCAGAATGTTGTGTGCCCTTCCTCCGGCAGTGCTCTGGAGATTGTTCAGATCTGCGACGGTGTCGCTGATTGCCCAAATGGCGAAGATGAAGCCTCGTGCCATGGTCTGTTGAAGCTACGCAGCATGAGTCGTGAGCTTCCTTATTTCCAAGAACTCGACTGCATCGACCAGGTCGAGCTTTGGGTTGAGCGTGGGGTCATCCGCTCGTCAAAGCCATCTGAGTCCGGCAACTACTCGTGCTCTTCCTTGCGTGGCGTCATGCGCAACTGGGATGCAGCCGAGCTCCATTATTCCCTCAGCAGTATACGGTAGGCTCCCCCCGCCCCTTTCCTCTCTCTTGCGGCATAAAAACATCTGCCCACTCGGTGTTACTGGGCGCTCGCTCATACGTGCTTGTTGTATCTTGATCTGTCGCATCGCTATAGTGCACTGGTGACAGAACGTCCGAAACCTTGGCTCGTACTAGCGGTGACCCTGCGCTTTTCCAATATTCTCAGCGAGGAAGTCTTGTTCCGTCTCGGTTACCAACTCATGGAAGGAAGCTTGTTCGGCCTCATTGGCAGCAATGAGACGTTTAGCGAGGATTTCACCCTACCGTCGCTCTCTGAATTTGAAGCTCAGTACCATGCACATGTTAACATTGCTGCTTCGACCACAAGGTTGCCTGCTTTGACGCCCAAGGCATTGGAATCATCAACCGGCGTGTCATCTGTGGTGGTGGTGGTGGCGGTGGTGGCATCGATTACATTTGTGGCGGCAGTTGCCGTGGTTGCATACATGGGCCTACGACGCAGCCATTCTCGCAAGGAGCAAGCGGCGATGGAGAGCGAAATCCTCACGCTGATGCGCGAAGCTCGTGCAGACTTTGATTCGGCCTATCCGCATCTGCATCTCACACCGCTCGAGCTTCTTGACCCTGACGCCATCAAAGTTGAGCATGCCGTTGGCCACGGCAATTTTAGCGACGTGTACCAGGTAGGCTGGCCACCGATTGTTTGAAAATATATGTCCTTGAATGGGAAGCCGCTAAATAAATACGACCAATGGGCGTGCCAGCGCATTGGTGCCCGGGTATTTTTCTTCGCCTGTTCCAGCCAGAGTGTGACTTGCATGTTCTGTGCTTGCTCTTGATGCCTAGGCGAGTCTGCTCCGCGGTGAACAGGCGCCATGGTGTGTGGCCATCAAGAAATGTCATGCGGATAAGACAACGGTGAGTCTCATATTGCAATGTGGACGATCAGGGTTCTACAATGGTTTCTGAAGGTCTCATCTCTGTGCACGGGGACATTAGCTTCTAGCGTGGTTGCGCGAAATCATGCTTTTGCACAGCTTTCGAGATCAGCCCAATATCATCGGCCTTCACGGCGTCCTCCTCAGCGTGTAGGTCATGCTTTCTGCCCGTGCCTCCCTGGTATCAAGCGCCCATGGTCGTAGCTGCCAGACTGCTCTGACTCGCTGGATACGGCTTTTTGTAGTGCGAAGCTCTCAAATCTATCTGCCGTGCTGGAGTGGGCGCCACACGGCAACCTCCGCGACTTTGTGCGAAGACACCCGCTCAGTGAGGCTCAATTGCATCAAGCTTTGCATCAGACAGTCAGTGCTCTGGCGTACTTGGCCAAGCTGGATATCGTGCATCGCGATGTCGCAGCGCGAAACGTGCTTGTGATGGCGGCCAGCCCGACCTTTGTCTGTAAACTGGGAGACTTTGGCTGTAGGTTCACCACCGCTCCTTTGAGGCTGAAGGCCTCATTCACCTTGTCTTGCGGCTGTTGAATGGCTCAAACACAACTGCTTCTTCTGTTGCACGTTAGTGTCCCGAATCATGCCAAGTTCAGAGTACTATAAGAGCACAGCAGACAGCGAAATGCCATTCCGGTAAGCTTTGACCCATCCACGTTCAACCCGTCAGCAAGCCCTGCCATGCCCTTATCTGCCCCGCTGTCTTTGAACTGTGCGCGCACAGGTGGATGGCCCTCGAATGTTTGGTGGCACGGCGATATTCCGAGCACTCGGATGTTTGGGCGTTTGGTGTTTTAGTGTGGGAGCTGGTCACGGCTGGCGCAACGCCTTGGCAAGGCATGGAGCTTCCTGCCATTATTCAACAGCTCAAAGCCGGGGCCGCCTTGCCCCTTCCCCCTGGAGCCCCGTCAATTGCGCAGCGGTTCGCTCTTCCCCTACGTTTTCGTTAATTTTGAAGTTGTTGAGATCTGGCACCTCACAATGTTCTTTTGGTGTACCATAGCATGACTGCAGCTTGCTTCCGAGCCGCCCCAGAAACCCGGCCTTCTTTTGCTCAGCTGCTTGACTTGCTTCCATCACAACGAAGCACCGCCTGGGTCTGTGCCGCATCGCAAGGCCGCTCACGCACGGTCCCTCTAGTTCTTGTTCACCTGCTTTGTCCGATGACACTCACACCCCATCTTTCGTCCTGTCCCGATTTTGATTCCTCCCATGGATAGACGGTAGAAAATGTGTCTGCTTGGCACGACGAGACGGCCCTTTAGAGCGAATAACATCCCCAGGACAGCGGAGTGGATGGCCTTCACACCCAAGCCATTCTTCTCGACGGCTTGATGAGCCTAGACGCAAACAATCAGGTCTTGAATTTCATTTTCCAATTTCCAGACAATCGATGCGCATCAAAAACAAATCGGTCGGCTTTATGCCCAACTCAGGGTTTGCGCACAGCACATTGCCATCGAGTCGTGAACGAGTCACCCTCTCGTTGGCTGGGTCACTGAGTCAGGAAGGACACCATGGATATGTGAGATCTATGTTGAGGCGATACCCTGGACCTTGTCCTCGGCCAGGGACTGAAGAGAAAAGTTTTGCCGGTCCTGAAACCACGGGCGCGTGGCCACGGCATAGAGAAGAGGGCGATCATTGGCAGCACGGTTGGCTGTGCCGCGATGAACCGTGCGATAGTCAAAGACGGTAACGTCGCCGGCATTGTGTGCAAAAGCAACTGGCGCCACCTCAAGGCCTTGATCCCCGGTCAGCGCCGCATATACGTCGAGCCGCTGTGACATGGGAATAAACTCGGGTCGGCCCAGGGCTTCAGAGACGCCATCTAGAGCAAAAAAAATGGTCAACGCATGCGGGGGCAACTGGACATGTTGAAAGAGGTGCTCGCCATCCTGATGCCAGCCTTGGTCATCAGAACCTGCCAATGTGCCATGCCACCAAGCGCCGAGCGTGAAACCTCTTTGAAGAATTTGCATGTCGTGTCAAGATGCAAGTCGGGTGCCACAAACAACCTCACTCTGCCAGTCGAACGCTACGCACCAACAAGCGAGAGGACTAGGCCAGCGTAGTGCAGCTCAAAGTCGCGGCCAAGGGCACCCTGCAAGAGCGACTGGAGTGCAGGCGTGTCCGTCAGTAACCGCTGGACCAGCGTCTTGAGATTGGCGTGGCGAATATCCACCCGCCCGCGGCAGCGCGATGCTGCTTCCGCAAATGCAAAGGGCTCGGTTTGCTGGCGATATTCCACCCCTCGCGCATCCAACTGCGTCAGCGTCTGACGGGCAATCTGGTCGATGGCATCTCGCGTTTCCTGAACAGCAGCTCCCTGACAATCCAAAACCCCTTCCAGTTGTACCACCCCTTGCTTAAAAAGCGTCTCCACGGCTTGCCCCAGGGCCGCGTCCTCTGGCGTCTGACCGGCCATTTTCACCGTCATTGCCGCTGCCGCTGCCGCTGCCGCTATCTGGACGGACTCGGCCTCGTGCTCTTCCATGGTTGCGGCCTCCGCCATCACAACTTTTGAAGAGAAAAATGAAAAAAAAAAAAAAAGAGAAAATTTCAACTTCACCAAAAAAAAAAAAAAAA